TGCTGAGCAATGCATGCACTCCATGCCATCTTCCAAGTCACTGATGAAGACATTGAAAAAAACCCAGCCCCAGGACCAACCCCAGGTCACTGTGCTTGATACAGGCTGCCAGCTAGACATTGAGCCATTGATTACTACCTTCTGAGCCCAATGCTCCAGCCAGCTTTCTATCCACTTCACAGTCCATTCATCTAGCCCATACTTCCTTAGCTTGCCTGGGAGAACGCTGTGGGAGACTGCATAAAAAACCTTGCTAAAATCAAGACATGCCACATCTGCTGGTCTCCCTGCCTCCACAGTGAGGACAAGTGGCCAGGGCTTACTTCTGGGTAGCTGGCTGCCTGCCCTAGACTTGGCAGGGAGGTCAGCATAGACAAGGGCTCTGGAAGATGTATAACAGCATTCTGTGATCCCGGTGACAGGCCCCATGAAGAGACAGCACTGATATTACAGTCTTTCCCTAGCTCCCCTCTCAGTCATGCCAACAACACTTTTCCACAGAGAAAGCCAGAGATCTACATTCAAAGACCCTCATTAATTGCTCTGCTCACCTTGAGAGGACGCAAATGCTGGGGTTTGAAATATTGCATCGCTTTGGCTGTCCTTTAAAACCGGAAGATGGCAGGTCCTGGGTAATGACAACCAGGGACATATTTGTCAATTAATTACAGAGAGAATCATCTCAGGAGCCTCATTTTACACCCTCCATCATTTCTGCAGCTCAATACAATTTTAATTAATCTTTCCTTTGGCAATGTGAAGGAAGGGTGAGCCTGCTGCAAACACATGCTGGGTATTAAATTGATTTCCTCTTTTATGGCCTTCCTTCCTCCCCAGCTAGTCCTGTGTGATCTGCAGCCTATTGCTATGAGGTATTACTTCCAAGCTAATAAAATCCAAAGCCTGCAGTACCCACCATTCAGAGTCATGTTTAAATGTGGCCAATTGCTTTCTCCCAACCAGTTGCCTCTGCCAGCAAAGATCAGCCACTCCCCAGTTTCCCCGCAGCAAAGCAATCAAACTAAAATATTCCAGCTCAATTTTCAGCCCTTTTAAACAAAACCAATGAAATGGGTGTGCCTATAAATTGAACCACTGAGCAATCCTATTACTTGAGCTCCCCATATCTGCCCCCCACATTCATGATGGCATATCTAACTAAATGTAGCAACAAAAGGACAGCAGGAGCCATTTGCAATCCAGGGGTGCGTGTAGACAAAGTGGGGGCCCTAAATTGAAGCAGTGGGTTTTTAAAAATACCACTTCAATTTAGGGCCAATTAACCCCCACCCATCATGCACACATCCGGCCTACCTGCCTCTCTGATGGCAGAGCGGGGTGGGGCAGGACGGGCGAGCTGCCAGCAGGTGGAGTGGTCCCTGGGCTGGGGGGCTGGGGCTTTCCCCCAAAGCAGCAGGGCCCCCCCCCCCCCCGGCCGCCCCTGGCTTGGGCAGTCCCAGGGGGCACCACGGCTGCAGAGGGAAGCACGTGGTCCCTGTGCAGCTCAGGCAGCCTCGGCAGGGGGTGGGGCAGGGAAAATCAGGCTCACCATTTTTCTTGAGCAAAGGCTGCCTTCCCAGGCTGCTTTCAGGGCTTCTTACAGAGCCATGGAGCTGCAAAGAGCGCAGTGCTTCGTTCCACAGCTGTACAGCGGCAAATTAAAACTCCTCCTCGGAGTTTTAGTTGGCTGTGCCCCAAGTCATTTAAGGTGCATTACACCACCGAATTTCCTACAGCTGCTGAAATTAATGCGCAATACGCTGCTGAGACATGCAAACACCACCACCATTAAAGCAGCGCAAAATCATTTAGCCTACTTTAAGGTGTCATGCACATACGCCCCTCATTTCGTCTACACACAGCCCTGTTCCCTAGGTAAGCTGCCAGTAGTAGGGACTAAACCTATTCCCTTTTAGACTTAAAACCAGAAACTTCTCCTGTGCCAGCTAAGCACCCAGCTCTCTAAGGCAACACTCCTTAACTACTACGTGGCCACGCTTCCCCTAGAGGGAAACACAGCCTCACATTCAACAGGAGTAGGTTATAAAAGCAGGTTCTTTGGGGTAGGTAGATACAGTCAATGTATTACATCTGCATGAGAGAGGACAGACAAAACAACAAGGTACAACATAGCCAGGCAGCAACGGACCAAGTTCAGAAGTCCTTTGGCTAGGCAAGTGCTAAAGCAAGCAATTGAACTTGGAGGAAATCATAAAGTAGGTGAGCTAAGTTCTGCTCTCTCCTCGTATTTTCTGTAGGGAGCTATTAAAGAGCAGAATCTGACGCTATGTAGACACATTACAGTCTGTAGCATCTGTAATAGCCAATATTTTTTTCAAAGGGACTCATGGTTTTGGATATCCAAAGTCAGACTCCTTTAAAAGGACCCAATATACAGAAAATGCAGTGTGCAGCCCCTTCCATGCACCTCCCATTGTGCATCGACTATCTGGAACCCTCACAAAATTGTGGTTGGCAAGCGTACACCGCAGCAGGTCTTGTGAACTACCTGAAGCGTTAATAGTGGATAGCGCTGTGCGAGAGAAGGGTCACTTCCCCAGACCTCTGTGGAGCAGAGCTGCACACTTCCTGGTCACCGTGCCCCAGGAAGAGGCATCATGGCCACCCTACACATGGGGACCAACGAGCCACCCGAACCAGAGCTCTGGAGTTCCACTTCCATGAGCTTCTCTACATTATTCCAGGTAGCTAGAGATTTCTTAGTAGCTGCCCACAAGGGGCATTTGGACATTTGAAGAAATAAGGGAACAAACAGTCACTAGAGCCATTTATGAATGACCCTGAGGAAACAGCACTTCTTCTACTGGCTATTCAGCCAGGATCAACCCCTGTGATTCTGCAGCAGAGAATCCCAGCGCATGGTGGTGCCTAAAAGCTCTTCTCTCACATTACTGCTGGTGCAGGAAACAGACTGCAATATGACAACCTGCTTAGAAACTGGTCTGAAAACCAATGCTTTAGTGGGCTGAAGCCTCAGTAAAAGAGATGTGAACATGGGCCTGTAAATGGAGCAAAACGTGGCAAGCTGAGAGCTTAAAACCCTTGCTACCCCAGGGATAGCTCATGGTACATTACATCCAGTCGCAGGCCAGCCACCGAGAGCAGAAATAGGGTCATTCTATTCATTGCGACTTACCCACAGGCACCATACTCTTGCATGCCTGGGGAATTTTTTTTATTATTATTGTTGTTGTTATTAATGGATACCGTACAGAAAACAAAACAGGAGTTACGTACAGAGGAGAGACCGTTTGAGCCGTTTACAAACCTTCCCATCTAAGAGCCCGTGGATGAAGAAAGGGGGCTCTGGCCATTAAAAATATAACGTGAGAATCCATTAATTTTCCATAGAAACAATGTCGTCATAGAAGCGAGACAAATCAGATCAGTCATGCAAATGTGCTGAAGTTAAATTCTCAGGCCTGGGTGGAGAATTTTGGCTGCCAAAATTGCAACAATGAAGAGATCACAAGGAGATTAATCGGCCAGGGCGGCAGCGGCATCACATGGGGGTGGGAGGGGGCATGATATGGAGCCAAAGAACCCCGGCAGCAGCAAACCCTGTGTGGACTCGAGACATCCCCTCCCCCTGCCAGTATCAGATTTAAGGAACTACATGCCTGAAGCGTCCCATCCTGCAAGCTGACAAATGCCTTCAGCTCCCCCCGAAACTCAACACAAGCGGAAAGTGCTCAGCACCGGACAGGATCAGGCATCAGGGCTGTGAAATTGCTATAAGCAGAAATGCCAGGATTAAAGGTCCCAGCAGAGTAATTTGGTGCATTCATTTCATGACATAAGCCAGTAGAGTATTAAGCTACGCATTTAGAAAGAGAAGCAAAGAGGAAATGCTACATCTGTACAACAGGACTAAGCCAGCATTACTGCCAGTCTCGTTGCTCATGCACTTGCTGAGGTTTTTAACCTTTCAACATTAAAATCATAGCTGGTTCTGTTATGCCAGGGTATATGTGCTTCTATTCACGCTAACCCCTCCAAACCCCATAACAATGCAGGGTGCTCTCTCAAGCTTCCCAAAAGTTCTCCCTTCACAGGAGACCAAGCGTGGAAAATTCCCAACCCCTAACAGGTCTCCAGCAGTGGAACGTGTCACGCTTTTGCAAAGAATACAGCAGGCCGTCGCAGGCAAGACCGCCATGCTACAGGTGTTCAGGAACTATAAACAACTTCTCAAAATGAAGCACTCACCTTCCCCATCAGTAAACAAGATGTTATAATTATATAGCCAGCCAGCAACATCAAGACATTGCAGTTAGCCTCAACACTGCTTGGGGGACAAATTAGAAAGGGTCAGAGAACAGCAATCGTCCTCCAACTTTGCATCGTTTCCCTGCTCCTCCACACCCTCCCTGCTTTCCCATAACTGAGTCAAAGGGAATGTCACTATTAGAGGAGAAAGTGTTTTTTTTCACCTGTAAGTTTAAAAAGAATTCCCATTTCTGGGATCATGTTTACTTCCAATTGTAAGCCAAGGGCTGCTGCTTATCCCACTTCTCAGCATGAGGCTGGATTACATACAGGCATCTCTAAAGTTTTTTTTTTGATTTGGCAGTAGCCATCTTAGAAAGCCTAGGTTTCCCTCTTTTCGATCAGGACAGTCTGATGCAGAGAAAAAGCACTGAACATATCTCCAACAGCAGCCTCAGTCAGTGGAGCACAGGAATAACCAGGAATAGTTTGACTTTTGTGCTATAGTTATTATGCCTAAAGACACCATCCAAAATCAGAGCCCTCCTGGGCAGAGGTAACAGTTCCTCCTCTGATGAGTGTGTTTGACAGTGTAAGAAGAGAACACCGTCATAGAAAGAAAAGGGACTCTCTCAGATCATAGCAGAGCAAGGGAGAGCACTCGCACCCCAAAATTCCCATCTGTTGTCCTATTCATTCAGCAAATTCTTCCTCTCCAGAACATATTTATTTAGGAGCATGACTACCTGCTACAAAGGAAAGGGCCTCACCCACAGCCACATTGAGGTAGTAACTGCATAAGGCAAAAGGATTCATCAGCACAGACAAAAACTTGAAATTGGCTGTACCAGGGTAGTATGGTCACACAGTGGTGGCATAGCTGGGAGCAGCTGGACCTCCACATCACTAGCGATGTCCTCCATCACAAACACTAACACTCAGGAGTGACTTCCGGCACAGCAGTTCCGTGGGACTATTTGGATACATAAGACCTGGGGCCATTACCGGCCTCTTGAAACCAAGATGGAAACTAGTCATTTACATTGGGACCAAAGCTGCCAGCCCACTGGCTTTGAATTACAGAATGCCTGACCACGCACCTGTCAGGCAACCCAGCATCTGATGGATATACGTCATGCAAGAGTCAACACAGTCCTATCCTGCCTGGCTGCCCCACTCACTCATTTCACTGGGCATTTGGCACCCTGCAGCAATACAAATCACAGCTTCAGGAGACTTAAGGTAACTATTTGGCAAGAAAACTACATACCTTGCCTCACGTTCATAGGCAGCTGCTGCTCTAGGCATAAGCCTGTTGGTCATGGCAGATGATACATCCTTTTGGGGACCACCTACATAATATCTGCCCCGTAGTAAGGCTGAGCACATGCCTCTAACACCATCCAGAGATTCCAGGGATCCATTCATTCCTACACTCTCTAGGGAGCTACACCAGCCTTAACGGAGAAGCAGGTGAAGCGAGTCATCAGGAGCGCAAAGTGAATCAGTGGAAGAGCCAGAAACAGAACCCAGGAAGGATGCGAGGGCTGGAGAACATGCCTCAGCAAAAGATGTAAAGGTCCATCTTACCCAATCAAAAAGCAAATGGAGAGACCACTTCATGCCAGGGCGCAAGGACCTTCACAGCAAGAAGCTATAAGGAGCTAAAGGGCTCTGTAAGACAGTAGAGAAGGGCACAGCAAGAACCAATGGCTAGAAGACAGAGTCAGACAAGCTTCAGTGGGAAATAAAGCCAAGATTTCTAAAAGAGATGATAGTTAGGCATTTGAACAAGTTACCAAAGAAGCAGTGGATTCTCTGCCTCTCAGCATTTATAAAACCAAATGTAATGAGGTGCATTATATAGGATGTCAGATGAGAAGATGCTATGGCCCCTATTACCCTTAAGTTCTATTAATCAATTAGTTCATGCACCACCAGGCCTCCAGTCTAACCACACCACCACCCTCCCTGTCCTTAAGTGCTCCTGTACCTTTAACAGCTCTTCCACAATCTTTTTTGCAGAGTTCTGTATTAGCAGGAAGTGGCCTGCTGAGACCCTGCTGAGCAGCTGTGAGAGGCAAACTCCTACCAAGGAATGATATGCTAAATTACAGCAACACACGCTCCAGACAGCTCTTTCTTTCTGAACAAAGCATGGCAAAGGATAGGAGGCCATCCATTTGGGGTCTGTATGAGGGCCTTTCACCCAAGATCAACAAGAGATTTAGTGGCATGGCGTCATTTAGAGGCATGGCGTCATTCAGTCCAACAAGCACAGATTAGATCCAACACAAATCACACTCTGACTTGAGTTTCAGAGGCTTTTCAGATCCAGGTCTCCTCACAACTCCCTGCAAGAGGCAACCAGCATCAGATGTATTTAAAAGTCAATAAGCAGAGACAGTGGACACTTTAAGTGACTTGTCCAAAAGTTGTACAACAGGGAAAAAATAATAAAAATCCAGGAGTCCTACTCTTTCCAGTTCCATGTGAAGCCCTCTGCTACACTACACATCACTACTAAGTAATGCTTTTAAGTATGATTCTGCCCCCGCTTCCTCATGCCAAGTACTAAAATCAGCAGAACTCCCGGCCATGCAGTATCTTATTCAATGAGAGCGAGCGACAATTTGACTTTAGAGCAACAGAAGCCCGTGTGATCTCAAATAAGCCTGTATTTGGAGGCTGAGGAAGCTACAATCTATTGGCTTTGACTCAAAATAACAGAGCAGGGAGCTGGCAAGAGGTAAAGCAGCTCAAGAGTTAAATGTCACTGCATACATCCATCTTATTTATGCCCTACATGCCCATGAGAAGTTGGTCTTCATTAACAGGCATCCTGTAATGTTCTGGTTCTTCGTTTCGCTCCTGGCACTTAACTCCATCTGGATGAGGACAAGCTCCCCGATTTTCAAGCCAGCTGCAGCCTTCTCTTGCTCCAACATAAATGACAAAAGCCTGCTCAAGGATATGCATCTGTTTCACTTATGGCTCGTATGGCCAATTTAAACAGCTTCCAGATGTTACCAGAGCACTGTAACTGAACGCCACTCATGTATAAATGCTGAGATTGTCTGGCCTCCACAGAGGAAGGTTTCATCACAGAAGTCCGAGTAACAGCTCATTTGCTCCTGGGACGGCCTTCTTTTCCAGCCCCTTTAACACGTGTAGACTGCTGTTCATTCCAAATGCTGCCTCCTGCTGGGAGGTAACATACAATCATGACATCCAGAGAAGTCAGAGATGGAAGCGTCCTATTAGGTCACTGTGGCCTCTCACTATAATAAGGAATTGTTCCCTCCACTTGATCCAATTCAGTCATAGTATTTCATTCTGTTCTTTTAGAAAGAGCCCAAGGATCAAGGAGGGAATAGAGAAGGACTTAGCAACTTCATAGTACAGCTAAGAAAAACCCAGGTCTCTGGACTCTCTCACCGTGACTCCATCCACTAGATCAGAGCTCCCACTGGAGTTTGTGGCAATCAGCAGAATTGCAGATAGCTTCTGGGAGCAGGGACCACCCTTCCTTTCTTCCCAGCTAAAGGGCCCCAAATCTTTATCTCGTTTCATGGGGCTTTGCTAGAGGGAATAAAATATATAAACTGCTGGTTCACAAGGTATCACTGGGAATTATTCCCAGCTATTCACTTGCACACTGGTATTCCTCAGTTGCCCATCAGTCCAGACAGATGGACTCCTTTGCTCAGATTCATCACAGCACTCTAATTCCTAGCTCCTCAGGCCTGCATCAAGCATCTTCTCCCTCCCGGAAATTTTTATCACCTTGACCCACTTGCAGTGGCAGACTGCACCACCCTCTGTAACATGTCATAGGGTAAAGTGCAGAAGAAGTTACCACATATGTTTTCCATAACTTATCAGCTGTCATTCATGAAAGATGCATATGATTTGCATGTAACCCATCAAGGCAGCTGCACATTTCTATAGGCACTCACTAACTGGCTAGTGGTTGAAAGCCACCACTCGTTGAACCCCGTTAAACAACAAGAACTCATGCCACTGACTGGGTTCTCAGGGCACTAGAGGCAGCTGGCTTATTCAGCTGCCTTATGCTTTTCTCAGTCATTTGGGCTGAAGGGACCCTGCACTAAGACAGTAGCCACTACCTTAATAACCCCCACCACTGACACAGGAGTTATCCTATAGCATTTGGATGCAGTAATAAAGAGCCCTGGAGTAGTTTTCCTAAAGGAAGTGGTATAGGTAACCACATACCCCTTAATAAAATCAATAACATCATCATGAAGTATAGTATTGGGGACCACGTCTATCAAACACCCAAGCCTTTGTGTTAATGGAAGCTGGCATATTAGAGATTTTATTTAAAAGGAAACAAAAGAAGAAGAGAAAAGAAAAGAAGATCAATAGGTGGTTATTTCCAATGGGAAATACTTGTGGCAATTAAAAGTGTAGTACACTGGAACAGAATGGGAATTTGTGGCCAGAAATCATTTGCAGTTTAAGTGTCCTTTATGACACTGGTAAAGACAGTGTAAAACCATGGTTGTGCCTATAAAAATAATATATACAAAAAGAACATTAAAACAACCTTTAGGTTACAGTACCAAGCACACAAATGTTTAGAAATACCAGGATTAAAGCTGCTGGCAACCTTAACTCTGCCCACTTATTCATATGAATTCTGCTAACCTCTCAGGTTCCATGATTATATGCCACATGCCACCCACTCCACACCCACAAGGTCCCCAGCCCAGCAAAGAAACTATTTGCTTAATCCTTTATTTTCTGTTCTCACTCAACAGGTGTCCCCTGCTTGATGTACTGCACACTAGGCATGCCCTGTTGTAAGGACAAAGCTGACATTTACCTTTTCAATGGTATTAATCACTGGGGCCTGCAAAGGCTTCACAAACATAAAAGGCCCCAGGGAGATGAAGGGGTATTATCACCATCTTACAGGTGGAGAACTTAGACCTGGTCAGGTCACAAGTACTCACTGATTTCAGGTGTTCAGTTAGAGATACCTGCACCCAGTTTTTCAGAGCACTTAACACAACAGCCCATTCCAATATTCAAGCCCAGCTCCCATTGATTGCAAGTGCTCAGCACTTCTGACATCAAACCACACAAGGCTTTCAGTCAGGCAGGGGGGTAATTTTTATAAGGGTTTCAGGCAGGCAGGGAACAAGGAACCCTCCATCAGTGACCAACTGGGAGAAGGACTGGTTTAAGTGACTTGCCCAGCACCACACAGGTGCTCTGTGACAAAAGCAAGATGCGACAATATTCAACTGGCTTTTCCACAAGCCCCTTCCTTCTCTTACCACAATCCACAGCTTGCTTCATGATGCAGCTCCCAGCTTCTGCAACAAATGAGGCAAGGTAGATAGAAGCCTATACAGCCCTGACTGATCCCCAGAGCAGGCTCATGTGATCGTGTAATTGAGACTATTGCATTCACATATGTACACGGCAAAAAAGGTTGCACAGGCAATCTTCATTCTGGTATTTTAACAAGGTTAGTCTTTCCACCCCAAATGGTCTCCTAGATCATTCTGCACAAGGAATTTCTTAGATTTATTTTTAAAAGGCAACAAGAAGTCTTGTGATGATACACTGACACCCCTGCAGGATCTTCTACACTGAGCTGAACCCTGTAGGTCTGCTGCACAGACATCTGTAAGCAGCAGCAGCAGGTTGTCACACTGCACAGATCAGCACTAGGGATAGGGATGTTTCTGGGTTTCACAGACACCTGCTGCCAGCAGAGTGGTAAAACTCAGGGATCTTGGGATCTAGTCCAAGCTCTTGTTAGCAGGAAGTGGGCAGAGTCTTCTGCCTTTTCCCCTCTCTCCAAGGTTGATGCCTTCTGTTCTGTCCCTACCTTCCCAGTGTGTCCCAGCCTTATCTTTTCCTGACCCTAGGCTTCTCCTTGCAATCCCATTCTCCTCTCCCAATAGGCCCATTCTCTACTCCTCAGGCATCTTGCTCCAGTCTCATTCTCCTTGGCTGACAAGGCCTAGTCTCACCCACCCAGTTCTCTATACTCCGATTCCAGTCTCCCAGTTCCCCCCATGCCTGGACCCTCATCAAATCAGTTTCTCCCCCCAACCCTACAGGGTCTTCTGACTTCCCTCTGCATTAGATCCTAGTTACAAATTTTCCTTCCTGGGCTCTTTTTTTCCCCCCTCAGCTCCATGCCCCTGCCTCTCTAGCCAACCAGTTCCAGTTCTTATCATATCCCAACTACTCATCAGATCTGTCTCCCTGCTTGATCACTACTATTCCTGCTGCACTGGGTTTTCAACCTTAGTCGTTTCCCCCTGGCTCTTCCTCTG